GAAAAAAAAAGAAACAAAGCAAAATAAATAAATGGCTTACCTTCTTTCTGACCTTAGAACCCGACAACTAAAAAATACAACGAACAAAAAAAAAAAAAATCAAATAAAGAAATAGTTTACCATTTTTACCTTCGCGTTCTCAACCAGCCCACACGTCAAAAGAATCTTTATTGTTGTTCCATAAGTTTTATATTATAAGAAAGTTCCAGTATTCATAAATATAGGCAAAAGTCTCGAGAAAGTTTGTATACTCATAGTAACATGATTAAGGGGTACGAAATTTTAGTAGAATTAATATAAAATTTTTTTTCATTAATTCTTAATTATTGTAGATTTTTATGATGTCATGCCGTATATATAATCTAAATTTTATATTACCTCTCAAGTTTTTTTCTCGTTAACAAATAAAGAAAGGTTACGTTCAATAAATTTCGTCATGTCTCAGATTTTCAAAGTTGCAGTATTACTAGACTTAATTTTAGCGATCATATATTATACTTAATTTTTTTTTTTAATTTGTAAATATCTTATATTTATTATTCAATAATGCTTGAAATTATAATTAATTGTATGCAAATTATTTTTATTAGAAATATTTTATTAAAACAACAAATATTGCTATCTAGAAAATGAATTAGACGCGCTAAAAAAAGCAAATATATTTAACTAGTTTAAAACGTACCCAAAAATATAGAGAGAATGATCGCCGTTAATAATTCGTACCTATAAATAATTTATCGTACCTTACATATCGTACTGCAATTAAATACTATATACTCCACACAAACCCGTGATCTTTACAATGTTAAAATTGTTAAAATACAAAATTCTGTAGGTGAAAACCAAGTTTCAAGTTATAAGAGAAAGACGTTTCCAGAGTGGAAGTTTGATATTTTGGATAATTCAGTAGATAGTGTTGAAAAATGGTTGAAAAAGAATTGTGAGACACCATTACCAAAATTGCTTACCCTTGATATAGTTGTAGCAAGTTTTAGAGTCAATTTAAAATACCTTGAACAAATCATTAACACAGAAAAACCCGTAACCATGTCTACAATTGTTTTTATAATAATAGATGATCCAAATTCACCAAACATTATAACATTAAAAAAAAAAATATGAAACAAATCCATTTGTTGAAAACACAAAATCCTTATCAGCAAACAAAGATATTTTTACAAGCGCAATAGTCATGTCCAATATAATATCTTTTTGGGATATTTCAGAAAAGTTAAATGACAAGATCTTCCCTGAGGTATTACTGCAAATTTGCTTATTAAATGTTATAAAAATGACATGCTCTTTGATCCAAACTTTCCTAAAACTGGTAAAGGAGAAGACATCAATTTCTGCATAAAAAAGAGAGACTTTTTTATTAAAAATGTGAAAAATGGAAGAGGATTCAAAGGTGCACCAAATATATAGTAAATCATCCTTGGTGGAATGAAGGCAAAAGAGATTATAGAAGATTTTATAAATGGTCGAGAGGAGATGGCATCTTGATTATGATGCATTCAGATTTAGTATATAACGATATTGCACTAAATAGCACAGAATTCTTATTTGGGATGATAATAATCTTTATTATCACTAAAATTGTTTCTTTTCTTTTTGTAGTATTTACGATACAACAATCATTAATATTTTTATAATTTAGACGTGTTTATCAATTCCACTTACAATTGTTTAACATTTTTTATGATATTCATTTACATTTGATCATAAAACCTTGCTATTTACCTACTGTTTGTGATTATCGCTATATTTTAGTCACAACTGATTCTTCAATTATTACCATAGTAAATGAATGTGGTAGATTAGTAGGACTTATTGAAAGAAAGGAATAGAACTGTATTGGAAAAATATTTGATTGATTTGCAAAAAGATGTAAAGAAAAACCTTTAAATGATAAAACAAATAAGAATTAAAGAAATTTTTTGTTTGGATAAGCTTAATGGTTTAAATCATTAACATACTTCTTAATTATTAACGTCAAATGAAAGAATTAGTATTTAGTTAAATAACTTATTTTATATATAATACGAGTTTAATTAGTCTTTCAAATTTTTTAATAAATATTTTTTGATTTTACGAGGTTAATGTTATGCCTGCAGCATTTCATTTTTATAAATGTGAAACTTATTTTTTCACACAATGTAAAATACAATTTATCATATGAATATTTATCATTGATATATCAGATATTATCACATTTAGCTACATAATATGAGTCAAATTGTCACATAACTGCAATTTTTTTAGTGAGGTATCCTTAAAATATATCTGGAGTATAGGCTTTTAACCTGTATTCTATGTATAAATAAAATTTTTTAAAGTAAATATTACGTGATAAAAACAGTTGCAGAATAGAATAAGAACCTATATCTCTAGAACAGAATAAATTTACCTTTTTAGTAGTTAATTAAATCATATGATTTTTAAATACAATTTACTGTTCTCAGAGATTTATAGAAGTATATATTTAAACAAAGAAAAACAGTTTATTTTCTTATCGTTATTGAATGTAAAAGGATGTGATTGTATTATATATGCAGAATTATAAATCCATTAGAATAATCAATCGCAAAGAACTTATCATTATTCAGAAATAATAATGACGTGTATAAATGACATGATATTTGCATATTATTCAATTCTCTTATATAATCTACTATAGCAATATTTAATAATAATTTCTGAACTTCAATTAAAAGGTTTATTTACTTAATCAAAGATAAAAATAAATATGATAATTAATACTTATATATTTATTTTTACAATAATTTTATCAATGATTTTGTTTACAATATTATCTGCAAATTCATAAATAAATTTTTTCATATTTGAAGAAACACAAATTAATTTACCTCAAGTATTTGATATAGTTAAATTTGATGATAATACGTTAATTATTCAATTAATTCATAAAAATTCATCAACTTCTACTAAAATAAGACTTACAGTGGCGCTCAAAAGTATTGCATCACCTGAATACAAATTTTAAAATGGCATTTTCTTGTGATTAAAATGGTGCAGTGTCATATAAATTATTTATTAGACTTATTATAACCAAGTCTATTCAATATATGAAAATCAGTTTATAATAATGAGATAAATTTTTAAAAAATATTTATTTTTGAACAATTAGGCGATCCTTTTCTTTTGATCATTTTTTTATTAAATTTTTTAAGTATATAAAAAAAATCAAAAATCTAACCAACTTATTAAAAACTTTGGTAAATAATTATTTACCATTTTGTATAGCCACCATTAGCTCTAATTACATTATTTATACGAGTTAGCATAGTATCAACCAACTTTTTGCATACATCAAACCCCAACTCAACCCAAATTTTTTGAATTGCATCCCATAACTGATCCTATGTTCTAACAGGTGTTCTAAGCCACCTCAGATAATGATTCATTTCATTCCAAAGGTGTTCTATGAAATTTAAGTCAGGGGATTATGCTAGCCAATCAAGAACTTTAATTCCATTATCTTCAAACTATTGCTTTGTAAGATATGCAATGTGTTTAGGATCATTATCCTGTTGAAAAATAATATTTTCTTTATCCATTCCATGCCACGCAATAGTTCCCAATAGGTCTTCCTTTAAAATTTGGCGATATAAATTACTATTCATATGTCCATAAATTCAGCATATGTTACCAACCCCATCAGATGTAAAACATCTCCACACCATAATATTACCCCATCTAAATTTGACCATTAGTTTAACATGATGATCGTGTAATAGTTCTCCTGGCTTTTTCCAATAATACTCTTTACCATCTGATCCATAAATCATAAATTTTGACTCATCTGACCAAACCACTTTACTCCAATCTTCAACTGTCCATAACTTGTATTTTTTTGCAAATTTCATCCTTGCGATTCTATGTGTTTTTTAAAGATATGGTTTTTTTGCACTTAACCCTTACACTCATTTAATTTCTATATAAGGTTTTCTTTACTATACATTCATTAACTTCAATTTGTTCTTCTATTTTTAATTTTTTTTAAATTGCAACAGCATTGCTACATTCACCTATTGTAATTAATCTCAAAACTTTTCGTTTATATCGACTAGTTAAAAGTCGCAGATGCTTAGATTTAGGTTTATTTTTATTGTTATCAGTTTTATCTTTATGTTGCTTGGTTCTTATAACAGTTGATTGAGAAACATTTTCCTTGTCTGCTATATAGCGAGAGGGAAAACCTTCATCAAATAAGGCACAAATCTTAGCCTTTTTTTAATAGAAAGATAAACCATAGATATTTTATAAAATTACAAAGAGGCGAAAAATGCCATAAGGCATCTTTTTTATATGTATTGCATAGTTATTTTAAAGCAAAATAAAATCGCGTAATAAGTGTTGATATTTATTTCTTAAATCAATCAAAAGAAATGCATCACCACTTTAGTAAAAGTTTCATAACAAAAAAAAAAATATTCTTAAAAAAAAAGATGAAAGAAATTGATAAAGATTAAAGTATAACGAACTCTATATTTAAGTTTTGTAACACTGTGCCTTTTAAATTACAAGATATTTCTATTTTAAATTTTGTATTCAGGTGATGCAATACTTTTGATCGTCACTGTATGTAGATAAATACTTATCACTTCATATAATTTTTCCTAATAGAAGATTTGAACTAATTGACATTATATTATATATATAAAATTTTAATTTTTGCATTTTGCAAATTGATAGACAACTTTATTTTTTTATTAAAATTTATCCTGTAAAAAATAATTTTCTGATGGTAACTTATACAAAATCTAAAGATTTGAAAAATATTTTTATATATAATGAGTGAGCAATGATTATTGATTTAAGCAGAAATATATATGGATTAAAATAATTAAAATGTTCCTTCCTTTTCTTTTTATATATATATATTTAATATAATTTATATTTATAATAAAATTTTACTGGGATCTGCTTATGTTGATCTTACAACTAAACAATAGTTACCTAACAAATCTGAAGTTGAAATGAACATTAATCAAAACAAGGGATTTCTCTGTATAGATCCTTTAACAAACACTATTAGTATTATGTAGTAACAATTCATAATGTAATATATCACATAAATTATAAAGTTTAAATTTTAATTTATGAATATTCTAATTTATAATCTTTTTTATTTTTCTTCTAAGAATTGAAAATGGAGAAATTCAAGCACTTATAGAAAATGTGATTATTTTTTCTGATTTTACAAATTTTCAAATTAGATCATTTACAATAATTGATAATAGATACGCAATCATTTTTGTTAATATTATAACACCTTCACTTTCTACAATTTCTTTAAATTCTTTAATTATATGAGAGGAAATATATGTTATATTCTTATCATTTAAACAAAAACTCAATAATCAAGCAATTGCTATCACTAGTCAAAATAGTCCAAATCGGCCTAAAATCGGATAGCCGATTTTAGGCCGATTTTGATACTATTTACGGCCGATTTGTCATA